TCCCCCCCCCCCCCCAAATAGGAATGTTTTACACATTTTGTCAACCATTTCATTTTGAGGATCCTGTTCATAAAACCCTGCAGTTTTTTTAAATGTTTATTTTTGTTTCACAGCCATACAGAACAAATGGCTTGACATTTGAGATGAAAACTTTTAACAGTTTTGGTCAGTATTTCACTCGAGTTCCAGATGTTTCGCAGGACATTGAATGCTCCTCTGGCCTTAAAGACTTACTGTTTGGGAAAATTGCTGCCTATACTCAGAGCAATACGGAATTTATGCAACTTTCCCTGGCTATAAAGGACTTTATCTTGAATTAGTTTTTGCTAATTATAAAACATGGGCCTTATGTTTTCAATGTCTACTTATTAAATCCTTTTTTATCAGCTTCGCTTTTGTTCGTGTGTTTATGTGATTCGTTACTGATGACAACACAGTCCATAAAATTTTCAGAGCCATCCCCGAACCCCCAAAACATCAGTTGTTACGCAACCAAATGACACTGATTTGACGAAATAAAATTCCCTATAACTGCGCTAAATGAGATTCTTTTTTTAAAAAAATATCGCACTTGCCTTTGGTGCGCATTATTTTCTTTTGTTTTTCTAAAATAGTTGTTAAAATAAATCTGTGGTGTAATGGCGGTTGGGGTCATTAGAATATTACTATAGCTCAGCGGCGTGAAAAGATTGCTGTGGCAAGCCTTGCCGGGTGGGGCGCTTATTGGTATTCTTATGAAATGCGCTCCTTTCATGCATATTTTGTCCAATTTTCAACCCTACCCCCAAGCCCCAAATAACTATATTAACTTTGCGTTTGTTCGTTTGTTATTCTTTTTGCCTAATCTTTGGAAGGTTAAATTAACCAGTTTCCGCATCCTATCGAGCTGAAACTTAGCATATATAAACTCAATACCGATGACAACACATTCAACCAAATTTTCAGCCTCAACCCCCCCCCCCCCCCAAAAAAAAAAAAAAAAAAAAAAAACTCGAGATTTACCATTTTTTCCAAGGGGAAGATGACGGAAATGGGATGCACTGATTTCTTTTGACCTGCAGTCATCGCTGAGTCGCACAGAAATGCTCTGAGATGCTCAGAGTCACACAGAAATGCTCAGAGTCCCACACAAATGCTCAGAGTCGCACAGAAATGCTCAGAGATGCTCAGAGTCACTCTGAAATGCTCAGAGATGCTCAGAGTCGCTCAGAAATGCTAAGCAATGATTTACAAAAAAAAAATTGTTTTTAAGGTTTGTATTAAATAAAATTAAGATTAACTTTTAAACTAGGACAGCGTGTTAACTTTTAAACTTGGACAGCGTGTTAACTTTTAAACTAGGACAGTGTATTACTTTTAAACTAGGACAGTGTGTTAACTTTTAAACTAGGACAGTGTGTTAACTTTTTAAATTAGGACAGCGTGTTAACTTTTAAACTAGGACAGCGTGTTAACTTTTAAACTAGGACAGTGTGTTAACTTTTAAACTAGGACATTGTGTTAACTTTTAAACTAGGAAATGTGTTATCTTTTAAACTAGGAAAGCGTGTTAACTTTTAAACTAGGACAGTGTGTTAACTTTTAAACTAGGACTTAATTTAAAAAAAATAATTATTATTTATAAACTGTATATAAAAGATGACATAAGGTATTTTTTCTCTGAAACAGTTTTTAAAAAAATATTTATTTGGATCTGTTAAAACTTAAGATATATTTAGGAAGGTCTTTGGTATGCTTCATATACTTTAGAAGGTATACTTTCTTTTCTGTATTTTATGTTCTAAATTGTTGTTGGGGATGTTAATGTTCCATGTCCTTCTTATGTATGTCAAGGTTAGAACTATACACAAAAGGAAATACTGATATGTTGTTTTGTAATACAGAAGACAAGAAATTTATGATAGAGTTATTCGATAAAAAATGAGAAAAGCTTTGAATTATGGGAATATTTTTGATTTATTAGATAAAAGATGGGCAAACTCGAACATTGCAGGAACACAATGGGACTCCATGGAAATGCCATAATCTTGAGATAGTATCTTGTTGTTATTGGCGTCAACTCGGATGGCATCACGTGACCCAACGGAGGGGCATTCTGGGAAGTAGTTGAAAGGCAGCAGGACTATGGTTGCCTTAGCACCGACTGTTGGTGTGTTGGGGATGTCCTCGGTGTGAGGGATGTGGTGGAACCCCACTGTTGCCCAAAGCACCAAATCCTGGGAAGATGGATATAAATGTATGGATCGTTGGTCGATTCTTATCAAATCATTACGAAAACCCAACATAACACTGACACAGGACATAGCACTGACACATGACATAACACTGACACAGGACATAAAACTGACACAGGGCTTAACACTGGCACTGGCCATAACATT